CCCCAAGCAAGTATTGTCTTCACTTCAATATGCACAGCAAGACAGAGCTAAATCTTGGGAGCACCCAGTGGAATTGTAACACTTTCTACGATCTTTTTCCTTTATTTGTGGCATTACTGTTCCTGTCAGCTGATCATTTCTTGTACCAACAACTGCAACTTTTTGTTCTCTTTGCACAAGCAGTGGTAGAAGCCCCTCTATGGCAGAGGCCATAAACTTTGATGCATATTCTGGCAAGAAAGACATTGTAGAGCTATCTTTTTTGACGGTTATGGCCTAAGCGACACCTCTCACACGACACGAGTTGAGTAGGTGGTAAAAAAGTTTTTGAGTTGCCAGATGCATTCCTCCCACCTAAATTATTTTCATGCATATTTGTACTTATAGTGGGTACCTATAACACATTATAATTCGCTATATCAAAAGTCATCTAGGATATTATGTTCCAAAATACTTTTTACTAGTTGAACAAAAACAATACAGTTAAGCAGCTAGATATCAACTGCAACCACTCCCATTATGTCAGAGTGATGTCTTTGTGATGTCACTCGCTTCTGATCATGAGACTGTGCGACGCCCTAATTGCCACCAGAAAAGATAGCATAGAGCTCCCTAGCAATTTACTGCTAAATAAACTCCTTGCAGTTTTTCTGGAGAGAGAGAGAGAGAGAGAAAAAAAAATGCTATCATTGCTAGAGCATACCCAGACTGTAGAGTATATTTCTTGCGCGGGAAATGTTACATTTTTAAATGCGCAGAAAGCGTAATTTTTTCTACATTTTCCCGGAAGGATCTGCAGACAGATGATGAAATAAGCATGCAGAAAGGTCAAAAGAATTTTGTGCATGGAAAATTATTTAAAAAAGAACTAAGCATGCACGGAATGTTACCCGAGAACTACATTTGCGCAGACAGAATTTGACCCAATAATTTTTGAGTGGGGAATGCGCAGACCAAACTCTACAGTCTGGGAGCATACAGCATGCTTCAACTTGCATTAGAACAATCCACTTTTAATGTCGTGTTACAGTGTTATGAGCATGTATAATAGAAAAGAGAAAGAATAACATAATCACAACCATGTTAAGTTGTCATTGTATTAAGCTACTTTAATTCTCATTCTACAGATAAATTCCACTCTACAGGCACATCTCTCACAGCCGTTGCCACGGCTCTTGACACACAGACTAACACACATCATATTCAAATTCGTCTTTGGACATTGTAAAGCACAATGACATATAGAACCAATGAATCCTAAATGGGTGTGGTGACGTGTTATATGGTCAAAAAGTACTTAATTGGTGTACTATTAGTATGCCCCCCACGACTCACCCCACAACTGCAAAAATGACGAAATAAGTCAGAAAATAGTTTGTCTGGTAGTAAAGAAGGTTCTGGATGACTCTGTTGGCCCATTTGTCTCCATCTTTAAAGTTTGGAATCTGGAATCTTGCAGATTCCATAAGAAAATCGTCCAAAGAACGAAGGGGAGAAACGGACGTGTTTTCAGGCTCGGCCATGTTGAGTCACTGAGCCTATTCTCTAATTCATTCATTGTTATTTCCTTATATACAGTTCTTAATTTATACATTATAAACAGAGAATAATTTATCTTTTTCGCTATCAATGCTGCTGTATAGTTTGTCTCCTCAATTTGATTTTTAAGTGGAGTTTCATTATTTCAAAGATGTAAAAAAGAAATACGCCCTAAAAACAGCTGAACTCTAGAAAACCTTACGATAAGAGATTGAATCCTACTACTTGGGTAAATGAATCTTTCTTCTAATAGTTCACATCTTCCTGTAAAGGGTACTTATTAATGCTACTACAGAGCCAAAACATAAACAAAAGAGGGTAACGGTAGAAACAGAAGAAATTGTTAAACCTTTATAAAGGAAAGGAAGACAAGTAATAAAGGAGGAGAGAATACGCAGTAAAAGAAAGTCGGTCGCAGTCAAAGAAGGTTACGAAGAGAATCAAAGGCATTTCTCAAAGAAATCGGTAAAAGAACGATGTCTTGCATTTGCCTTCGCTAGAGGGAGACGCATTAAAGGAAGAATTGAAGAACAGATTAGAAGTGAACAGTTACGGGAGAGCGAATTAAGGTAATAAGCATGTCTTCATTTCGCCTTCATTCCGAGGATTCCGAGTTCAACAATCGAGTGGATGCCCTCTTCAGCTCGCTCGCAACGGCCGCCACAGAGCATGAACCTCGTGTGGCCAAACGACCCCACGAGGAGGACGATAATGACAGCGGAGACTCGAACAGGAGGGATGGGGAGACCAGAAGACCCTTTGGCAAGAATCTGCACCAGCGTGATAAGGAGTCGTCCTCCAGCGAAGGTGAATTCCAAAGGCCTTGTGATGGTGGATCGTCCAGGGATGGGGAGTTTAGAAGACCCTACAGTAGGCCTCCGACTTGGCGAGGGAGAGGGAGAGGGCCTCTTAACAGCACGCCAGATTATGTGAAGAACCCCCAGAAGTGGACAAGATACAG